AGGGATGACAGTGGAGGATTTTTGTATGGCGGCTGCCTGGTCATCACCATGTTCAATTATTCGTTTTTATCTATGCAATATTTCTACTTTCTCAATGACCTATTCTGTTCTCAGGGTTCTGACAGAATTATTATTATTTGTTTCATGGAGCCTCACTTTTGAGTTCACACCTACCTGCATGCGGTCGCAGTGTGAGATATTTATTATCAGTCACAAGTTCATGACTACTGATTTTATCGTTATTAATTGGTTCATCCTGAGGAGCTATTGGTCTGCTCTGTTCATCGTTCCACAGTTCCAATTCGTATCCTCCATTGTTCCTATTCACAGCAGCAGGTCTGCTATCTCAGCCTTTTTTCCTCACCAAAGATCTTTCTCCGGTACGCTCCTGCGCATGGAGCACGCAATTATGCAGCGCGTAATTACGCACACAGAAGGCTGAGTGATGAAATGGTTTTTTTGTGCAAGCAGGTGCTTCATGTTGTGTCTGAATGGACCCAGTGAGGCATAGACTGCATCCTGCTTCACCTTTAACCCACTAGCGATAGCTTAAAGGGCAAAGCCTATACGAAATAAAACGTTGGTTACGTATTGTAACCCCAGATTCTATGAGTATAGGTGCAGCCCTTTAAGCTCTGGGCCTCACTGGTTCCTAAATGGCTGAAGAAAAAAGCTATTTGGGAGCCAATTACCCGGTCGCACTGTAATTTATACGGACCGGTGATGAGGCCCACACAGTAGGTGGGCATGGACTAAAGTTTTCAGTGCTGTGCGCGACAGGATGAAACGCACTAGCGATAGCTTAAAGGGCTGTGCCTATACTCATAGAATCTGGGGTTACAATACAAAACCAACGTTTTGCTTTATGAGCTCGACGCATGCGCCAACACATCAGTATTGCCAGACCCATCACTACGTGACCCTCACCTGTCTCCCTGGACCTGTCTTTTGGATCTTCCTCCTAACTGCTTCAAGCTCAACTCTGCCTCAAAACCAGCTCACCTTCTCCAACGGTGACTTCATACAATACAACTCTAAGGAAATCCTCCCTCACCTGTTAACAAAGGTTGGTGTTTATAAACTGAACAATCAAACCAAAGCCATTGAACTCCAATTCACTAACCTTCCTGTCTCTTCAGATCGTACTGGCCCAAGGACTCAGACCTCCACCAGAAGCTGTTTATCAATAAATCTTTTAAACCTTCCTGTTGTCTGTGATCTGGTTCGAATCCCTAAATCTGGTTCTTGTCAAAAGTATCATTGAAGAGGAATCGAACAGAACTCAGCTGCACTGATGAGGAGCACTACACATTCAACGTGTGACAGAGGCCTCCTCATGTCATTATGAAAGCAAGATGTATTAATGTCCTGATGCTGCTCAATAATCCTGGTAGATTAACCAGGTTGAGTCAGGTCCTCTTGACGGGTCCTTATTGTTGAAATATTTCTTCCTTCATCCAAAAGACTTCTTCAGTGTGAGGAGCTGCAACAAACTCAGTCTTATCAGCAGCACATTATCATAGTGGATCAACCAGTTTGCTGGCGACATCCAGAACTAGCTGTTCATGTTCAAAAGGAGGACCATCAGCCTAACAATTGATTGTTAGTGTCCTGATAGCCGCTTGCTATTCAAAGAAGACTGAGTGATACTAGCAATAACAGCATCATAAGAGGGGGACAGTTGGACACAGACGTCTCCGCCCCGTTTAATGACGATGAATTAATATCAAAGTTCATGCTCAATAATCCAGGTAGAAATATCCAACAAAGTTAAGTCAGGTCCTCTGGATAGTTTCTTCTTGCTGAAACTGTTTGTCTTTCATCCAAAAGACTGCATCAATCCAAAGAGCTACAACAAACTCAGTCTTATAAATAGCACCTTACTTAGTATGTAAGTATTGAGCATAGTAGTAAGCATACATTCAAGTTGTAAGTACTGTATGTATTCAAGTCGGGTCCCATCATCAACTGACCCTACAAAACAGAAAATGTCTAACTCGGTCAATTTAACATATATTGACCCAAAACTTGGCATGGTAGTAGCTGAAACTGATCCCCAACTCATAATCTGGGTGCTAACGGATTGCACACAATCTTTTGTTTAAATGGGTCATTAACCATTTAGTGTCAACTCTGTTTGCTAACACATATTATGACCCACTAGATGGTCATTTAAGGAAATTTTCAGGGGGGTAAAAGTTATTGAATGTACATCTGCAACTGACTAACTTTTGGAGCCATCTCTGTTCTATATGACAGCCACTGATGATAAAATAACTACATTCAAGTAACTCAATGAGTTTCACAGATACTGAGATAAAACTTGATATTAACTAGTCTGGGTTCTACTTTGTATTCTGTATGTATTTGTGTTCAAATGGGAACATTTGACTAAATGTGGTAAAAGGATCCTTAAGTACTTCATATTCAAATTTAGTAGCTACTTATTTTTGTTAGCAGCTAGGAATCTTTCACATTATATACTCCAAGTGTTATTTCACGGACCATATAATTTATTAAAACTTTCAGAGATTAATCACTGGATGTACATCTGCAACTGATTGAGATTAATTATCTGATTAATTGGATTAGGTAAATCCAAATCAAGATGACCGCTACAGCTAATCAACACCAGCGAACACGGACGCGGTTCATTCAATTTTCCATTTCTCAGCTAAAATTTGATACAGTAGTCACTGAGACCCCAATGCCGACTGAATATGACCTAGATATGTCACATAAGAAAGGGAATTATGTCATTTTTACGTCATTTTTTGTTACTTGAAAATTATTATGATTGAAATAATTGTTTGAAAAAAGGGGCAGATATAAGATTTTTTTCTTCTTTCTGCTGCCTTTCATTTTAAATCTTTTGTATCATTTTTTATATTGTTATGGAATTGTTTTGTACTTTTTAAAAATGAATAAACTTTATACCATACCATTTTCAAGGTTGGACCAAATTTGTTACAACTCCATCATTTTTCAACATAAGATGGTCTTAATCTAAGATTCTATCTAGCATGAAAGGTAGCTGGTGTTGTGGTTTAGATTTTAATACAGTTTTGGAATGGACTGATGAATCAACACAGGACTGTGTTTATGCATCATCAAAAACATATACTGTATGTTGGTTTAGAGAATAAATCTTAGACAAAATGCCATTGACCCTGCCTTCCTTCTGACTTCAGCAGCAGAACTTACTGAAAAGAAGAAAACACTTTTAATGAGCACAGAGCACTAAACAGACTTCAAGATGAATTTGACAACAAGCATATCAGTCTCTGTAGAACAGGTGAGTTCTTTCCATAGGGATCCCCACCCACTCAGATACATATCTACATTCATCCTCTCACCATGACGACTGCCCACCCCCACCCACATACCACCCTGACGACCTGTGCTACCCAGCGGTCCTCTTGAGGCCTGTCACAGAGCTAATATGGCTGCAGCAGATTAACCTGGGAGTTGTAGAACTCCATCGCTTCCCTTTCTCTCCCAATAATCCCTCCGCCATAGGAGGTTGAAGTAGCAGAATCAGTGGGAGGGCCTCTCATTCAGACAATAAAACCCACTTTATCCTCTGCTTCCACTGGGATAAATGACCCCTTTGCCTCCAGACACAAGAATCGGATCAGAGACGCTGCCAACATATGACCTAACAACGCCCCAGGACCATGGAGCTTCCCTACTGCATAACCAGGAGTAAACTTGAACCCAAAATTCTTCTTTCTCACTGCCTAAAATTCCTGGAATGACTGCTTTAACCCAGTTTAGGGCCCAGTTGCTTGTCTGTTTTGAAAATGAGCTGAATGTGCACAGAAAAGAGAAGAGCAATTGTACACCTCGATGCAGCAGAAGTACAACCTAAACACACACAGCTCCTTAAAGCATTTCTTTGTGTCTGGATGTTGCATAATGATTTCATGACAAACTATCAGACATATGAAACCAGTTCCACACAGTCGGAACCCACCTCTCCCCTCGTGCCATTTTCTGAATCCCATGTCGACTCTCCCACTGATCAGCCTTTTTAGCTCATAGCATCTTTTAAAAAAGAAGACCCACCTCATTCTACGAAGCCCTAAGAGTGCAGAAATGGTAAATGGACTGTACTTATATAGCGCCTTTCTATCTTATTTCAAGATACTCAAAGTGCTTTACACTACAATCCTCATTTATCCATTCATACAGCACTCTACTAGATCTCTACAAAGCTAATTGACAAATCATTCTAAAGAGACTAAGCAGAGCTTTATCACATTCATACACCGATGGGACACACATCAGAGGCTATGAGGGGTTCAGTGTCTTGCCCAGGGACACTTCGACATTTGACTGCTGGTGGATTCGAACCCCCAACTCTCGCATTGGAGGACGACTGCTCTAACTACTTAGCTACAGCCACCCCAGAAAACCATTTAGATCTGAAGTTAGGCATTTTTAAACACACTGTTAAGTTTCTGACCTGCAGTTTTGATCAGATCTGAACACATGTTCAATCTAGTTTACATGACTGGAAAAGCATCTATTAAAATGTGAAGATCACATGTTTTCCCAAAACACTGACAAAGTGTTGACTTTAAAGGAAACACCCTTTAGGCCTCACAAGAAAGCTGGTAGTCATAAGGCTCTACAACATATTGAATACTTATCATCACAATATCAATAATGCAATCTGCTGCAATAAACTGTAAGCTGTTAAATTACAAGTAAGCATTCATGTTCTGTGCGCTTTAATAATAATAATTATATGTTTGGTCAGTCCAACAGACTCACATTGATGTCCACACCTAGTTTAGATGATGGCAATGACAGAAAAAAACATGACGAGTGAGAAAAATGTAGGTTTATCACAATATATACAAAATTTTACATGTTTTTTAATATCATGTAGCCCTGGAGGCTCCAGATAAAGATGCTGTTCTGTGAAAATGAATGGAAGTGTGCAGCATTGAATACTGAGTACATGTATGCTCAGAAGAGTGTGTGTGACTTACCCTGAGGCAGTCCCTGCAGGCTGAACATGCTCTGACAGCTCAGATGCTTCTCGGCATCACACTCCTCCCAAAGCCTTCATCTGCAAAATGTTTGCTGTGTTTCAACCTCCCTTCCTTCCATCCCACTTCTACTCACTTTTCTGTTATCTCCCCATCATCTCCATCCTTTCTGTCATTCACTCTTCCTCATCTCTTATTTTTCACTCTCATACTTATATACTAGTATATGCATGCTCTCATTCTCTGCTTCTCCCACCACTTTCTCCCTCTCTTCCACGTCTTCTTTTTAGCCCCTCATCCTTAACCCCTTTCCCTTTCCTGCCAACCTCACCAGCACTCCAAGAGCTTGGTATCACTTTTCTCCTGGCTGGCACAGAGAGGAGGCAGACACATGGGAGGGCTGTTTTGTAATCCAGCAGGTCATACCACCCTGGCATTGGAAAGGAGGAGGGGGGTGAGATTGCAGAGAGCAAGGAGAGGGGGGAGGGAAGACAAAACAGAACTATACTGCTACTTTCTAACCTATACCTTTGCTGCATCCCTCTGTCTGCAGCGTGATGGTCTCTCCCTTTTCACCCACTGCCAACAGGAGGTCTCGTCTCCCTACATCTTCTCTTCTAGAAGGGAGTGGTGAAGTGGAGATGGAGAAAAACACAAGGGAGGAAGTAAGGAGAACGGAAGTGGAGGAAAGGTGGGAATGAATGGAGGAATGAAAAGGAGGAAGAAAGGAGAGTGATGAGGATGAAAGGAATGAATAGAGGATGGTACGGGGGGAGGAGGGGAAGCCTGGATGGGTGGTGCACTGAATCAATGAAGAACCCAAGCTCTGAAGATATTTCTAGATGTGGAAATAAAGAAAGAGACAGTTCGTATATTACTAAATACTTTAGATTTTGGTGTTGCACAGTTTGTGCTGCTGAATGTGAGTGAGTTTAAAAGAGACCAGCAGAGAGCTGAAGCAGACAGTAGACATCTCAGATTGTCTCAGGATGTTTGAACGTTTGTTTGAAAGCTGTTTTTTCAGCAGTTTGCTCATTCATCTGCTTTTATGAAGACACTGTTCAGCACTCACATTAGTAAAAAAAATTGCTGTGAACACAAAAGAGATTATCTGGTCATTTATCAAGTTATGTATGCTCTGTCAAATAAATTTCATTAGTTATCATCTTGTCAGCTGTAACATCAGTCCAAGAGGCAAGAGAGGCAGACGTCTTTGTCCAAGTTAGGCTAAGAGCTAACCAAGCGAGGGCCTGAGATTATTGTCTTTATTTATGTCTTATAAAACAATGTTGTATCAAAAACAGCATATGAATGTGAAAGAACACTACATTAGCTAATTGTACACTTTTGCATGACACCATTAATTTGTCACTGTTTTCTCAATTAAACAACGTCTATGTTGCTTCAATCCTTGTGTGATGAACAGACACCATTTTTTGTGGATGGTGCTGAGGCTGTGAGTATTTCAGTGTATCAGTCTGCCTGACCAGTGAGGCTAGTCAGTCCAAGGGTTTACTGATGGTTTGTAGTCTCAGCAACATCAGATTATAACCTATACAGTGGGTATACAGTAGTCCCACGCTACTTTGCGGTTCGTTTTTTGTGGACTTGCACTAGCGCGATTTTTCAAAATAAAATTGGACATGGCACACAACTGGCTGATAGAAGGATGATCCGCACGATCATTATGGGATTTTAATTTAAAAGAAATTATTTTAAATTATTTAGCACCTGCTGCACATTTGTGCAGCCCGTACTGCAGGATAAACTTCTTGCTGCAGCTGATCAGCTGTTCTCCATGCAGAGTGGGAAAGTGGGCATGGCCAAGAGCGCTTGCAGGTGGCTGAGAGCAGATGAGGCAGGGAGCTGAAATCATGACATTCTGTTTTCTTTTAGAGCGTTTAGAGTTCAGAAACATGTTTCTGTGCTGAACTTTAGACGTCCATAAACATACGTTTCACATACGTTTCACATATGCTTATATTTAGTAACATATAAAATTCCTTTAT